AGATTACCTGGGGATTTTCTTGGGAATCAGGGGTGGTGATGAGTGGCTTGCTATTTTCTGTTCAGAGCTCTCTGGAGACTTTTCCTGGGTTTCTCCTTTGTCTTTTGCCAGAGCACCTGCGATAGCAGACTCTGCTCCACTCTTGGTCTGATGGTCAGCCTTTGGTTCCGCTTGCGCCGGTTCACATCTATACATGAAAACAATCGACGGCTTCTCACTGGAGTCTGACTTTGCCTCACTGAACCAGTGATGACGTTGAACTGGAGGAGGGGGGAGCATATGTATAACAGTTCCATCAAGACCCACCAATTTTCCTTTCTCTCTTTCTTTCTCTTTGTCTTCCTCATCGTCAGTTTTCCTGCGGCGGAAGAAGCTCTTAAACGATATCCAGCGTTTGGGTTTTGCATCAGCAGCTCGGCGACCCTCTGAATGAAGGATTGACTCAGCCTCTGTCGACCTGGTAGGACTGTTTGGTTTGGTCCAGTTGCTGAAATGTCTTTGCAACAAGTTACTTGCATGATAGGGTGAAGAAGTGGACCGTGGAGGAGGAAACGGCGGTGCTTGCTCTGTTTTGGGACTTGTGGTATTTGGGGTAGCTCTCACCAGCTTTGGAGAGTGAATGGCAACTGGCTGTGAAAGTGACTCTTTCTGCGTTTTAATGGCAGTGTTTTCCACCGCCTTGGATGACTCTATTTCAGACTGTGATGTAAACAGAGATTTGGGTCGTACCAGGGTGTTTTTAGTAGCATCTGCATCAGGGGGCAAGGAATACAGTTCTTCCACGCTACAAGACTTGGGTCCAGACTGAGGCGTTTCTGGAGGAGACTGTGGAGGCTGGATAGAAGCCACAATCTGTGAAAGCACTGTGCTTGCATTCTCTCTGCCGCTGCCAACAGAAGCCTCTGGTGTTACGTCTATTTTTGCTGCAGGCTCTTGTGTTGTCTTTTGAACTCTTGATGGGGAGCTGTGGTCAGAACTATGACTTCTCTGTGGTGATATCTGACTTTTACTGAGACAGCTATTAAACTCTTGGACCTTTTGAGCCACAGAACCCAGCCTGCATTCAGAACTATTAGTCACCCCCTTCGCCGGGGAAAATTCAGTGGGATTACTTCCTACGGCTTCAGTCATTTTGCTTTCTGTTTCTATTTCTTCATATGTGTGGCTTATTACACTAGTAGTTTTATCTTTGATGGATAGCTCTCCGCTGGTCCCTAGAAAACTTTTGTAGATAGCAAGGTTATCATACGCATTTGGATTGATTACAATAGGAACTTTAATAGCATTTTTGGAACTCTTGGCATAAGTGGGCTCATCATGAATGATAATAGGAAAAGGTGGCATGCCAGCATTATTGTAGCTGTTGAATTTTATCTCAGATAAATTGGGAGACTTAACTGGGATGGTTTTTGAGGAAATATTTGTAGCTGTAGGTGAAGTAGGAGCTGACTTGTGGCTTGTTTTCCTGAGAGGAACAGAAGGTCCTGAGCTGTTAGCAATTAACTCCACCTTGGGTATCTTCTGTCTTGGACTAGTACTAGAAGTCCACACTTCTTGATATCTGATTGCACTGGATTTTTTCAGATTGGTATTTACTCGTACAGGTGATGCTGCAGAGGATGTAGTAGGTGTGCCTGGAGTTCCTGGTGAGCTTGGGTTAGATGATGTATTTTTGATTTCTGAGGTTTCAGTCTGATTCTCCTTACATTCATTGGTCATGGCACCTGATACATCTACTATGGTATATGGCTTGCAAACTGGTTGTTCCATATTCACCACCCTGTAAGGCTTAGCTTGCTCTTCCACAGGAACCAAATTTATAGTTACAGCTTGACTAGCAACATCTGAAGAACTTTTATTCTCTTGCTTATCAGTCTGCACAGCGATTTTGCCATCCTTCTCTTCCAGTCGAAGTGCAAGGACTGCCTTGTGAGTTTCTAGACTTTTCGGAGCATTTCTGGGAGCTTTTGACACATCTTTCACTTGCTGATTATCACAAAGACTTTCATATTCTGGTTCAATCAATTTGAGGTCCTGAGGAGTACTAGGGGATAACCCTCCATTACAGAGCTTCTGTGAAGAACTGCTGGTTGTTCCAGAACGAGACTCTTCTGTCAAAGAAGAATCAGGAGATGTGGAATCAGAAGACACCATGCTCTGCATGCTCTCTTGCCCATAAAGAATCACGGTCTCTTCCCCATAACCATTCAAAATTTCATCATAACTGTCGTCATAATCTACTGCACAGATCCGCTGGAGAGACTTGTTCCTAAGGGGCACGGTATTCCACTTTTTGTCAACACAGAACTGAACAGGAGATAGGGTGTTAGCTCTAAAATTAGCAAAGCGAGGTTGGCCCCTCATACGAATTTCCATCGCTAGCAATTCTTCATCACTTTCATCCCAGCTCTCATGCTCTTCTTGCATGCTGCCAAAAAACGTGTCATCCTCACTTTCGTCTCCGCTAGAGAACTCCGGATAACAGAAACGTCCACCTTCATTACTTATGACTTCAGTGCTTCCACTCAGAATAACATGCTTACCCTGTGAATCCTTCATTCCACCCATCATGCAGCTCGGAGGGATCTTTCTTTCTAATGATCTTTTATAACAATTATTGATTCTTCCCAAGAAGGTTTCTCTTGAGTTTGTTTCATTTCCAGTTAGCTGAGGTGTGGTATCCAAACCCGCAATCTCCTTCAAAACTTCTGTCAGTCCATTATTATTGTTACTTGGTATCTTACCTACACCATCACTGTTGCCGTAAGGCCTATGAACATGGCTGTAGCCTTCAATTTCATCTTCGTTATTATTGTTCAGTGGTTTTTTGTTCAAGACAGCTTTGTTTCGGTTCCAACCTGCAGGCACTGATTTATTCTCACAATGGTCTGGTGTGCTGATTTCGCCACATACACCCTGCCCATCTACCACCATCATGGTGGGTTTCACAGCTATAGTGGGTTTCTTTGCCACAGGTGGTCGGAAATTTCCTGTATTTCTCCCACGATGGCTGTTACTTTGGTTTGCATTGGTTTTCAGATTTCCATGTGAGAGGGTTTTTTTTTCAGATACTGAGGGTAACTGATGCAAGCTTTTGGGCTTGAAGCAGTTCTTACATTCACCAGGTTTCCAGACGTGTTCAGTGAAAGTGTTGCAAGCAGACATCTTCCCAGAGCTTTGCACTTGATGCCGTGCTGTTCAGTGCATGGTAAGAATTTCATCCATATGTTTCCACTCTGTTCACTTAGTATGGCTAGTGTTTTGAGCAGTGAACATTCTGAAATGCAAAAGAGAATGAGGATAAGAATGGGGAGAAAACAGGTTGATCATTATACTTCGATTTTCTACGCTAGGAATGACACTGAGTAAGCAAGTAGCCTTTTGCTGATGTCTTAGCTCTTTTTACGTAAATTTACAAAACTGTGTAACTGAAATGCAAAAAAAAAGTTGCAAATATCATTCTTCTCATACATAAAGAATTAAAACTTCGGCAGCTAAGCCCTATATTACTGAAAGCAGTGGTGATGACTGAGAATAGACTAATTCTCTTGACTAGTTCAGGACCATTGACCTTTAATTTTGCCCAATAAAACAACTGCTAGGAAAAGGCTAAAACCCAAAGATTAGCACACACTGCTTTCAACACAACTGCTTAAACGTGAGTCAGGAAAGTAAGAGTATGTTTACTTTCTGAAATGCAATTGAGATAATTTGTTTAAGCTTCGAATGTGAATGAGCTCAACTTAAGGGACAAAATATGTTCAAGCAATTCCAAACCCCGCCATTTTAGCACTTTTTTCATCAGAGTCAAATTATAACTGGACAGGTATTTTGTTTGAAGGGATGGGCTGGACTGCAATCCTGGAAAAGTCAGATAGAAATGCTGGGGAAGCCTTTCTAGAAAGTCCCTGTTTCTTCTCCTTTAGCTTACAATTGCAGCACTAAACTATTCTTATTTCCTCAAAACAAAGCTATGGATTTTTAGTCCCTGATTTGTTTCACATGTAGCTTTTCTACCCCTCCCAACAGTTGAAAAAGAATTGAAAATCTCTTTCAAAGTGAGCCTTTTTATTTCCTGAAATGATGAGCCTTAAGTAAAAATCAAACATGAATCTGCTATGCCTTATAGTCATTGGAGTATCCAGGGCTTGAGAGCCGCATGAACATTTTAAGCCACAAGTCTGGTCTCTTCGTCACTGTTGCATAACTCAAATTATTGGAGGCATTTTACTGGTAAAAGAAGCTGTATGCCCACCACTATTTCTGTTAACACAGGCATTGAAAATCACTAATTTTATATTCTTGGAGGCTTTGGGTGAAATTAATATGTGCTGATTGTGTATGTACACTGTAAGGGTACTAATAAACCCATTCAGTTAAAGACAGCTCTCCATAGAGCCTGTGGTTAGTAACTCAGCAGCAGGATGGCTATGCTGGAATTCACCACGGGCGCAACTGGTTTTCATCAGTGTAGCAAACAACAGAAGGCATTAGTAAAACTGACACTTGTATGAATTTGTCAGTCTCCTCACGTACTGCTCTGTGTTTTGGCAAAGGGCTGTCCTACGCTGGAAAACTCGATTGCTCTTCCAACACCAGATGGGGCTGAAGTCTAACTCTATTAGAGTATCTTCAGACACATTCGTGGTACCAGGGCTATCATATTTCATATGCTGACTAAATATGTTTCCAGACAAAGCTTTGTGCCAAAAAATCGGTGCCAAAAGCTTTCTCTGTATGACCTAAGAGATAGAAAGTCTGCCAGACAGAGATCTGCCCAAACTTTCAGCCTTTGTTTTACATATACAGAGCAAAACGCCTTTCTATTTTTTTGATCTCTGCCAAGTTTTGTTGCCTCAACACTTTGCAAGTCCATATATTGTAAGCAGAAAAATTGTATTAAGAAATAAGTCTCCTAAAATCAGAGACCAAGTGAGCGCGCACATAGTAGAATTATTATACCCTGGTTAGCTCCTTCCTTTCATGTATTTAACAAATAAAGGGAGTAAAGTTACACTAATGGGAATCTGAACCAAATGTTTTCTTGGAAAATATATTTCTCCATTACATAAAACCTCTGAACAAACAATTTAAACAAAAGGGTTAGTGCATACATTGAGGTTTTTAAGATTTAACTGGGTGGTATTATTTCTCTGAAATTGCACAAACTGCACTTGCTCAAGAACCCTATCACAAATCAGGCAGGTTTATGGTGTTCCAGGCTAAGCGTTTTCTGCTAATAATGCTGGGGTAGAAATGAGAAAGCACTCTATTGCACACCTTCCTCTGAGTACACTGTTGTGTTTTACCACTGGCTGTACTTGCTCTCATTTGCTCACATACACAGATAACAACCAGTTTTCCTCTAACCCGAATGACTGCTACACTCAACATACAAACACAAACTACAGGAAACAGCAGAACCACAACACAACACTCCAATCAGAGTAAAAGCAACGGCATGGTCATAGCTCTTGTGCAAACATCCATTCTATGTCCCAGGAGTACTGCCTGCAGCAGTCTGGCTTAAAAATAAAATACATGTTGAGGTGTCCCTGTAAATGCAGACATGTAACCCATACACAGAAAATACCTCAGAAATTTATAGATATTTTAGATCTCTTGCACTTCAATACCTAATGGAAATAGTTTTAAACACAACCACGCTCTCTTAATGTGATTTTTAACACAGTCTGTGGAACAGACAAGAGCTGCTGACTTCCCAGGTTCATAAACTACATCCAGGTTTCAACTGGCTTTGGCACCTGTGGGAGGAGCAGTTCCTGTAGTATGCTTTGACACTGCCTGCAGCTGTAACAAAGAGGAAATACGCACCTTCAAACCAGAGGAAATGTATGTTTAAACCAAACAAAAGACTTCCAACATTGTGCTACTTCTGTACTTAGCACTCCTATGCTATTTGAAATTAAATTCATAGTGACCTTTATATGTCTAAACAAGTAATTGCATTCTAACAAAAATTCAGTAGTTTCTTCATTGCTGTACAACTAAAAGTGATTTTTCAGATGCTTTCATTTCCCTTTAAAGAAAATTTAATTTACTGTTTCAACTACAGATTCCCTATTATGAGTGATAAATATAGTGAGAGTGATTATGAGTGATAACAGAAATGAAATCTTTCAGTGTGAAAAAATGTAAAACGTTCTTCATGTGTTCAGGCTACTGCTTCCATTGCTGTTAAACAGCAGCAGCAACTTGGCAGGGGGCAGCAGAGTCCGCTGAAGGTAATGAAAATGCACACAAATACAACAAGAAAAAAATACCCAGCCAGTGTTCATGTCTACTTTCGTACCCCACTCTTCAAAACAAAGAAGGGCAACAAGAGATCCAGGCAGTCTCACACCAGACCTCTTAAGCTGCTATAATGATCAAGTATCTTTGCTTCCTTAACTCCCCCTGCTTCCACGACAGCCCATTTAACTGCTAAGGAACAGGAACGTGTACCCTGCGGAGCTCCTGGCTCTTCTGAAATGAGTAGTTCAGGTGACAGAGCTTACTTGAAGATATTCAGTCTCCGCAAAATCAAGGCAATAACATCCTAAAGATATTAAATAATACAAACCAGCATTGGGCTTCTAAAGAAAGTGTTAACAGTAAATACGTAATATCAACATTGTCCATTTCATCCCTGTATCTCAAAACCTTTATGTAACTTGATAAACACAACTATTCACAATTTATACATGGAAACACTGCAGTGCAATGACGCTAAGTAACTAAAATTCACCAAATGAGTCACAGTGACAGGAACAAGTACAGACAAGTTCTGCTCCTAATGTGGTGCTGCAGCCAGTGGATCGTGGTACTTCATTCACTAAACGGTTGAGTCAGCACAGATAGTTTATCAGCTTTAAAGGCCAAATCACTCTGCGTGTAAATGAGACTAATGTTCTTCGTTTTGGCAGACAGACAACTGCACGCGGGAGGGCTCGGTCTGGCCCTGTTAAGTTGGTATCAAACAAACAGAATCACACCAGCGTATTTCACTTTCCAGGTCAGAGGGAGAAGATGACAGACTCAGAGTTGCAGTACAGAGATGAAGCAATCAGCTGAGAGAGCCTCATGGCAGGAAACCGAACCTTTGCATAGAAACGCAGAAGTATTTTTGTGGCTCTTATTTGTGGACATCATCTTTGTCGAGTGCACAAAGAGAGGAATAAACATGCATTTCAGGCATTTTCCCTTTGTCCTAAGCAATTTCAGGCTGGCGGGTCTCCCTTAGATGCATGCTGGCTGAATCACAATGAAGGCCTTCTCCAGTAATACTTTATACTAACATAATCCAATTAAAAGGAACTTAATTGGTGTGCAACATTCCCTACAATTTCAACATTTTAAAAATGAATAGTCTCAGTAAGTACCAGATGGTGACACGCACTAATTAATCAGGCCTGCTCAATGAATGAGCATATTAAAATGAATGCACCTATTGGACGTGTTTTCAATGCTGCATGCTGCACAAAAACTCCCCTTAAATGAATGCCTGCTGTATTACTGAGCAATATGCACAAGTGTGCATTTCATCATCTGTAACGCTATCGCTCTTTGGTCTCTTCGTTAGATCACTAGATACTTGGCACAGATTTCCTTTTGTTTGTCATCCTCCAGGAATAAGTCATTGCTATCTGTGAAAACAGGCCTGCGATTTTTATGCTGCAGAATAAATTGCATCAATCAGCCTTCTTATCAGACAACAGTCCAATAAATGGCTATTGAACAACCCACGAACCTTGCACCGTTGGCAGGCACATCATCCTCAAGACTGAAAAATTCAGCAAGGGGAATCCAGCCTAGGCTTCCTCTGTAGGACTGCCCAAACACCACAAAACCACTATGGCTTTGTGGTTTTGTCTGAACCACTTACAGGGTTCTGGACAGTCACTGATAATCATAAACAATGGCATAAGTCTAACAAGAATAAAGTGATGGTTATTCTTTGTCAGTATCTGATTTCAGTTTCCTTTGAACTTTAATATAATTGTAAACATTTTAAGAGATTTTTTTGAAAAACCAAAATGCTCCAACTTCACACATACTGCCCTGCTTGGGTGACAATGGGCTGCGGAAATGCTCTGTCTCCCCGAGAGTGTTGAGACTTTCTGACTCAGGGCCACTGAACCATCTAGCACAGGTAACTGGGACCACAAACAAATGTGACTTGTGCTAATTAGGGTTTTTTTGTCCTTCATGCCATAAAAAAAATTTTCTACTTAAATTTTACATCATTTGTCCAACTTCAAAGGAAAGCAAAACCCC